TAAATTTATATAAGATAAGTATTCTCTTCCTAACATAATATAATTTATATTTAAAATTAGAATTTGAATTCTAGACATTTTAATATAAGATTGTGTTGTCTTAAAGTAAACTTTTAATTTACTGAAAAAATAGTTTATAAATATATATATATATATATATATATATATATATATATATAAATTAAATATTTTTAAACAAGGAGACAGTATAATTCGATTGCATCGGAGTCGTGATGGATCATATAATAACTTCTCATAAAGAGATGGAAAGTGTGAGTTGGTTTCGGTATTTAATGTTGTTAACATGTCAGTGTGATAAATGTACTATTTGTCTAGTTTTTTTTTTTTTCTAAAAAAAAGATACAATTTCTATGTACGAATGAGATTGTTCTTTGATTAAAACTATAATTCTACACCTTCGACGGTTTTATTTTATTTTTTATAATCAGATAAAATTGATAATTAAGGACAAAATTTAAATACATATTATTTAAGCAAAATTTTAATTTGATAGAAGATAAATAACAATAATACTTATGTTATTCAACTATTTTTATTTTTATTTTTTTCTCAACGCGTAGCTAGTTCTTTGACAATAACGTGTATAGTGATAGAATGTAAAGGATCTTTCACCCTTAATGGAAGTCGACCCCACTCCGAATTGAAGTGAGTTAGTTGTACAAATATAAATAGTAGCAGCTGAGAGGTTAATGATCACCCCAAAGAACCATGGAGATGATGCCAACTTTGGAGAGTGACCTGAATAACATGAGGGACTATTATGAGAGTGGAAACACTAAGGATGCGTCATGGAGAGAATCTCAGCTCAAAGGGTTGCATCGTTTCCTCATGGAAAAACAGGACCATATCATGAATGCCCTCATGCAAGATCTAGGAAAACATCAACTTGAAGCTTTCAGAGACGAGGTATATATATATCTTTTCACATCAAACATTAGCTTTTGTGTTACAATATAAGTGGGAGGAATTAATAAACCATTCTTAATTATTATTTGATGCATTTTCGCAGATAGGAACGTTGATCAAGACCTTAAATCTGGCATTGAAGTCTTTGAAAGATTGGATGTCAGGCAAAAAGGTAAGATATACATGTTGTTCCTTCAAAATATCGCTATAACTTCACCTTGGTAATCGTTTGAAGTAACCAGTGAGCAAATCAATTTTTATAGGCTAAGTTGCCGCAAATAGCATTGCTCACTAGTGCAGAAATAGTTCCCGAGCCACTTGGTTTGGTCCTCATTATTTCATCATGGAATTTCCCCTTTGGTGAGTCATACTAACCAGTCCCTTGGAAACAACAGTTATATATATATCACTGGATTACGTTCATGGGTTTTTGTTGCTAAGAAGTGTCTTCATCTTGTTGATTAATTTATGAAAACATAGGACTATCCTTGGAGTCACTGATAGGAGCAGTAGCTGCGGGAAACGCAGCAGTGTTAAAGCCTTCAGAGTTGTCACCAGCATGTTCTTCTCTACTTGCTTCTGGTCTTGCCACTTACTTGGACAATAAAGCCATTAAGGTGGTTCAAGGTGGACCTCAAGAGACTCAGCAACTACTACAGCAAAAATGGGACAAAATCTTCTTCACAGGTAAATGGGATCATTCTTTTTTGTTACACAAAACAGTGGTTTACGTTAAATATGTACTTTAGTGTTGTTTTTCAAACAGTATTACTAATTGTGATTGTTTCAATTGCACCACTTAAAAGTATCTAAAACGAAGAAACTAGAAATGTGTGAATCTGTTTTATCAATAAAATAGTTATTAAAAAGATTATCATTAATTTTTTAACCATATTTTAAAAAATGTTTAAGTTTTTCTGTTTAGATGTCGATAGTGAATCTGTTATATAAAATTCATGATGAATGTAAAAAACCAATTGCAGGAAGTTCACATGTGGGGAGGATTGTGATGGCTGCTGCTGTGAAGCACCTGACTCCTGTGACTTTGGAGTTGGGTGGAAAATGCCCTGCAGTTGTTGATTCTCTCTCATCTTCGTGGGATTTAGGAGTGACAGTGAAGAGAATTATTGTGGGAAAATTTGGGACTTGTGCTGGTCAAGCATGCATAGCTATTGATTATGTCATTGTGGAAAAGGAGTACTGTTTAAAACTGGTACATCCCTTAACAATTTTTACTGTTGATATTGACCATCTTCACTGTTCTTTGTTTCTTGATATACCATATTTTGTTTTTCTTTTAGGTGGAATTGATGAAGGTGTGGATCAAGAAAATGTATGGAGAGAACCCACAACGTTCCAAAACTATTGCCAGAATAGTCAATAAACACCACTTCTCTAGATTGAAGAATCTCCTTGACGATGAAAACGTCAAAGAATCTGTGGTTTATGGTGGTTCAACGGACGAAAAGAACTTGTAATTAATTAACCAACACTGACCTTTCTCCGCTACATTCTTGCATGATTTTTCTATTTCCTTTAATCCCTATTTAGCAATAATAACATAATTTAGTACGTATTTTAGAAATATAAACACATTACGTTACGTGAATTGGTGCAGATTTATTGAGCCAACGATCTTGGTGAATCCCCCGCCGGAAGCAGCAATTATGTCGGAGGAAATTTTTGGCCCATTACTTCCAATTATTACTGTAAGCTACATGCACACCAGTGAAAATAAAGTTTCAATTTTTTTTTCTTAGTGAACATATTACATATATATAAATATCAGAAGGCCATTACCCCATGCTTAATATATCTATTTATTTTCTAACTTGACCAATGATATCCGTTTTTTTTTTTCTCTTCTTCCAATTAATAATTTGCAGGTGGAGAAGATTGAGGAGAGTATTAAATTCATAAATTGTAGACCTAAGCCTCTTGCCCTTTATGTTTTCACCAAAAACCAAACACTGCAGAGAAGAATGATATCTGAAACATCATCTGGAAGTGTGACTTTCAATGATGCAATTCTACAAGTAATACCCTATCTAGGACTAGCATCATTCTACTCCTAATTAATTATCTTTTAGCATATATATTTTAATTACATGATATTTTTGTTGTTGCAGTATGCAGCTGATTCTCTTCCATTTGGAGGAGTTGGTGAAAGTGGGTTTGGGATGTACCATGGAAAGTTCTCCTTTGACACATTTAGCCACCAGAAAGCAATTGTGAGAAGAAGTTTCCTCACTGATTTTTGGTTTAGATATCCTCCATGGACACTAAATAAGTTACAACTACTTGAAGTCTCTTACAACTATGATTATCTGGGATTGCTCCTTGTCCTTCTCGGATTAAAAAGACCATCAAAACGCTTAATCTTGGATCAAATTTAGCCGCTCAGGAATTTCGGTAACCAACTATTTTGTATTTGTATTTTATTGCAGTTTGTAAGGAAATATTTATATTTTTCTTTAGAAGTAAAGTATCTTGTATATAATGAAGATTTTCACAGATAACATCTGAAGATATTGTTTATTTTGTGTTTAAATTTTTATAAATTTATTTTTCATTATCATCCAAAAGACATTTATACTAATATCTAAAAGAAATATATTTTTAATAATTATTTTTGGTATTATGATACCTTTATGTTATTAAAAAAAATCAATATTTTTTTAATAACTACCAGTTTTTTTATTTAATAATCATTTCATTATCTTTTATTTTATTTTTTTAAAAATGACCACTTCATTATCTTTCTATTCACAAAATTTAGTATATACTATGTATAATATCCTCTTTATTTAATATTGATTGATATTTATGGCTTTTCAAAGAGATCAAGAAAAATAATTATTCTAAGATAATATTTGTAGTATTTATTAAGATTAATTTTACTAAATGATGCTTATTCTCTTTCTCAATCTCTATAAAAGCGTATTTCAGTATATAAAAAAAAATTAATTAAAAATTGAAAAAAAAAATCAAAAAACATAAAACGGAAAAAGTAGTAACATTAACATGTATTACTATCAGTAAAACATTAATTAGATTATACAACAAAAAAGAAACATTAATTAAATCAATACTAAAATTATAACTATTAATCATTCTACTCCATCCGTTTTTAATTTTTGTACATAACCGTCAATAAAAAAAAATAAAAAAAGTAATACATAAAATTTCAACAAACAAAATTATTTTTTGAAATCATCCATTATTTTAGTTTTTGATAATAATACTAATTTTATAAATCATTAATTAATAAATGTTATTGTTGGTTATGTCACTAAATTAGTTATTATGAAATTAAGGATCAAATTTACTAATTATATTACTTTTATATATTAAATTAAGAGTTTTATAATTACGCAATATGCGAATGCAAACTATTTTATTTAGCAACAAATTATAATTTTTTAATTTATATGACTTTTAACTGTTTTTAATACAAGTCAATAAATTTATAGTACAGCTACGAATTTTGATTGAATGAGGATATAAAAAAATATCCTATTTTCTCTTAATTTAAGGCTTTATTCCCGAAATATGATTTTTAGGCCTAAAGTATTAAAATGTCTGTCTTCCTAATCAAAATTCTTGAACAAATGAATTGTAGAAAGTGATGCACAAGAATTAAATTTTTCCTTTAAGATTATTGACCGCTCATTTTTACCATTTAGTGACGTGCATATGTTAAAAAAGACATATTAGAAAACAAGGAAGACATCATTTTTATTTTTTAATTTCTTTTTTGATTCATGTTTTTCTTTTCTCAATTAATCACTATTTTAAAGCATTTTTAGCAAGTGAAATAAGAGGAAAATATAACCAAAAGTGAGGTTATAACTTCTGTATTATAAAATCATTTATTTACCGCTAATTTTTTTTATGAAAACTCTTTGACTTTTATAACAATAATAATAATAATAATAATAATAATAATAATAATTTTTTATTCATCGACAATATAATTTATTTTACACTTATAGCTGCATAATCAATAAACTCTAACTTTAAAATGTCAATTCTTTCAAAATAAATGTATACATATTTAACAGATTCATCCCCACATTATAATTCCACCAACCTTATTAATTATTTGGCTCCCAAAAATGGCCTAACATTATGACTATTTAAACTGAATGCATGCAGCCACGAAAACTAGTGGTAGAGAACTGTGATCGTGTATATTGGTAGTTGAAAAGCATACCGATTGCTGGTGGCTGTTTTGTTAATTAGCTATGTTTTCTTTTCGAAAACACTGTGTATTTGTAAATATTGGATCAACTTGATGTGAGTTTCATTAAATTAAATGAACCACCTTTTCCGTTTATTTAATGAAATTTAATTTCTGAACGCCATTGACTAATGTGGTGGTTAGAGTGAATTGCCTTACTGTACATCTAATCTAAATATCTAAAAACCTGATAGAGTTTGCTTTTTCTCTCTTTCTCTCTCTTTCCACGTTACATAAGTAAAAGAAAAGGACAATCAAATGCTCTAAAGTCTAAAACAAAAGAGAATTAAATCACAAGATAATCATGCCACTAATAAAGACCCAAAACCAAAAGACAATCACTGTTCGGTGTCCAGGGAAACCGAAAACATAGTTGTCGAGAAACTAGTAATTATAGTAAAGAAAAATGCCATAATTTCATACTTCCTTATGAGGTGTGAATTAGGTAAAAAAATAATATTGACAATAACGCGACGAAGAGAGAAAGGAAGTAATATATATATTACTTGCAAAAGAGTGAACGTTAAAAAATCCAAACTTTGTAATTAGGGATCGATCGAATAATTCAGTTTGTTAACCACTAAGTACTTGCATGTTTTACGTAATTGTAAATTTTGATTCATGTTTTTCTTTTCTCAATTAATCACTATTTTAAAGCATTTTTAGCAAGTGAAATAAGAGGAAAATATAACCAAAAGTGAGGTTATAACTTCTGTATTATAAAATCATTTATTTACCGCTAATTTTTTTTATGAAAACTCTTTGACTTTTATAACAATAATAATAATAATAATAATAATAATAATAATAATTTTTTATTCATCGACAATATAATTTATTTTACACTTATAGCTGCATAATCAATAAACTCTAACTTTAAAATGTCAATTCTTTCAAAATAAATGTATACATATTTAACAGATTCATCCCCACATTATAATTCCACCAACCTTATTAATTATTTGGCTCCCAAAAATGGCCTAACATTATGACTATTTAAACTGAATGCATGCAGCCACGAAAACTAGTGGTAGAGAACTGTGATCGTGTATATTGGTAGTTGAAAAGCATACCGATTGCTGGTGGCTGTTTTGTTAATTAGCTATGTTTTCTTTTCGAAAACACTGTGTATTTGTAAATATTGGATCAACTTGATGTGAGTTTCATTAAATTAAATGAACCACCTTTTCCGTTTATTTAATGAAATTTAATTTCTGAACGCCATTGACTAATGTGGTGGTTAGAGTGAATTGCCTTACTGTACATCTAATCTAAATATCTAAAAACCTGATAGAGTTTGCTTTTTCTCTCTTTCTCTCTCTTTCCACGTTACATAAGTAAAAGAAAAGGACAATCAAATGCTCTAAAGTCTAAAACAAAAGAGAATTAAATCACAAGATAATCATGCCACTAATAAAGACCCAAAACCAAAAGACAATCACTGTTCGGTGTCCAGGGAAACCGAAAACATAGTTGTCGAGAAACTAGTAATTATAGTAAAGAAAAATGCCATAATTTCATACTTCCTTATGAGGTGTGAATTAGGTAAAAAAATAATATTGACAATAACGCGACGAAGAGAGAAAGGAAGTAATATATATATTACTTGCAAAAGAGTGAACGTTAAAAAATCCAAACTTTGTAATTAGGGATCGATCGAATAATTCAGTTTGTTAACCACTAAGTACTTGCATGTTTTACGTAATTGTAAATGGAATTGACAGATTCCAGCCGCTAAAGAAGAAAAAAAAAATGCATATGCATTTTTTGGAATAATATAAAGACGAGAGTGCTTCTAGTTCTAGCATGAAGTATTTTATTATATGTCTGATGTCTCATTCATAAAAAAATGCATATACTCCTCTAGCCGTCACGCTGCCACGGTTTTCGCCACCTAAACCCCTAGAAACTCCACTCTGACAAGGTCATCGCTGCCATCGATGTCGCACAAGGCCATGGGCAGCAAGGACATTGACGCGCGCGAGCTACGGCAAAGGAAGCTGACGCCATTCTTGGAGGATCTCGGATTTAGAGTGAAAAGAAAGAAATACACATTTTTCTCTAGACTTTCCTTCATGTGTATATATGAAAATCAAAGACTTTCTTTCATGTACATGTAAAAAAAATTAAAAAAAAAACTTCAATTAAATCACTGATCAATTACGTGACTAATTAAATTATATTTTTAATCTCTTTATTTTCCTAAAGACGAAAGAATAAAAAGAAAGAAATGCACATTTTTCTCTAGACTTTCCTTCATGTGTATATATAAAAATTAAAGACTTTCTTTCATGTACATGTAAAAAAAATTAAAAAAAAACTTCAATTAAATCACAGATCAATTACGTAACTAATTAAATTATATTTTTAATCTCTTTATTTTTATTATTTAATTATTTGATTAAATTATATTTTTAGTCTCTATTTTTATTAATATATAATTTTGATTATTTTATTTTAAAATAAATACATTTAACATACATATTTTTAAAAATACAAAATTTTAATCCTATCTCTAAAATTTAATAATTTATTACCATTTAAATGACGTAAATCGTTTAATATATTTAATAATGTGACATATAAAAATAAAAATAAAAAAATAATGTACAAAAAAGTCTTCATTTATATCTATTTTAACCACTTATGTTTATTTTATTAATAAATATTATTTAATTTTTTTAGTTTTTTATCTTTACATGTCATACTACTAAATATCAATTTATTTAAGTATAAACAAATATTAAAACTTAATGACTCATAAATGTCAATTTGAATAAAAAACTAAAATTTCATATTTTTTAAAATTTTAAAATAGAAAAACTAAAATTACAAATTAATAAAAATAACAGAACTAAAGGTACAATTTAACCAACTATTTCATTTTCTCTTCTCATTTTCTTTCTTTTATCTTTCTTTCATAAACCAATTTATTGTTATAGCTCTTTGATAAACCAAACAAAGTATAAACCAAAGTGTACTCAATTTATTGTTACAGCTGCGGCTACCGAGTTGAATCTAACACATTTCATATATAGCAGGTTGATGCGCAAACCAAAGAAAATAAACAAGCAAAATTTAGGAAGCACAGATAAGGAAAAAGAGCCTATAATACAACAACAAATTCAGAAAATTAAGACACAATATCCTCATGACACCATATCTAAATTTAATAAGATTACAATTAAAACTCAAATCCTAAACTAAAATAGAAAATTTGATATTCAGTATTACCTCAAAGTACTGCCATTAATCTAATTAACAAGCTATTCCACTCATATTTTGAAGCCTTCATGCGTAACATTGACCGGGCAATACAAATAGATCCTAGGCTTGCTGTAAAGATTGCGAGGTCGTCTGCCAAAGGGACCGTCCCAAAATGGCATTTCCATGTATTGAAAGATATGCAGCATTTAATCTGACAGAGCAATCAAATATTCAATAAATACACATTTTTTTTTCCCATTGGCAAAAGCTATAACCAACTTTTAAATTGAAAATGGAGACGGAACTAGAAGCTTACTTGTCAACATCAGGCATTGCCAGGGGGTCATACGACTCCTCCATTGGCACAGACACTGCTGACATGTCTTGAGCACCTTCAACCTGAAAAGTAAGCAAGTAACCAATATGCATGAGTAGCCCCAGAAAGTTATTCTCAACCATATACAGTGTGTGTGTACTAAATTTAAGCTAACTTACCTGTTGAGGATATTGTGCAAAACCAGCATATGCACCATACGCATACAAGGAGGGATCATGAGTAGCACCATAAGCATATGCTTCATAACCTTGTCCATATCCATAGTAGGCACTCCATTGATTTGGATCCGTCTGTGCGCCCCAGCCACCAGGTACGTCCTAGAATTGTTTTATTAAAAAAAGTTCTCAGTGCTAACATAATTACACATCAAACAAACACTAAAAGGTGAATCCATATACCAGCTACTAAGGTTTGGTATCCAGTAAGAAGTGGGGAAAAGACAACAATTTACACCATAGTAATACCCCTTAGGCCCTTCTGCGATATTATGTTATTTAATTAAATTTTAGTCCCATTCTTGTTTATTGTCCAATTTCAGAGCCTCAATCTACACATTGAGCATTCACGTGTGACCGCCACAACTATCCTAAATTATACTACTTCATCTAAACTACAACTGAAACCACTCAGCATTGCGCTAATATTTACATTTGGTATCATCTTTCCTTGTGTCATCACATAACATCACAATTCACAATCTCGTTACCTTATTCTTTCGGTGAATCAAAGTTTCAGGTGAGGAAAGTGGCTCCAAACCCAGATTGGTATGCGATTGGGATAGCCTACTAACGAAAGACCTCCAGCTGAATCTGAATCTAAGTCCATTTTATTGACATTCAATAACCCTACTAGTTGAACCAACCTCCGCAGCCATCATAATCTCACGATTGTCGAGTAGGGTCTAGACTCATCTAGTCATCTTCCAAACATATCTTTCAATTGCCAAACCACTAAACATGGCAGAACATAATACAACAACAAAAGCTGTATTCCTTAGGTGAGGTTGACTACATGAATCTCATGACGCTATTGAACTCAGTTAAATATCAAGTTTTCAGGAATAACCCTAAACATAATAAAGGCCGGTAAAATATATGCTAGAATCGAGTACGCATATTTATATTACCGACCTAGAAGTATTGGAAGATTTAATATAGTTGCACACATTGCAGTAGCTCTTGAAATTAAAATGCATGTTACAAGCGTGCCACATCCAGTTTCAACATGACAAACTAAATAATCAGTATGTCAATAAATGAATCATTTCCAAAAGCAAAATCACCTGTCTAGCTGTCAAGTTACTACCCCAAGAAATCTGGATCACTTGTTGACCTATCATCTTCCCCTGCATCCTCTGAATGGCATCTTCAGCAGAAGCTCTACAGAGACAAATAACAGAACAGGTTAAAAAGCCAATTAACAATAGGATAAAGAAGAAGGAGAAGAAACTAAGATTGATGGAAGACCTCATAAGAAGCAGAGTAACATCACATCACATCACATCACATCAGGCCACATGAAACTTATTGCCTTGGAAAGGGGGTAGGTAGCAACAGTCAAAATCATATCATCTACCCTTTGAGTTTCAAAATATTAGAGTAACCCCATAAAGATTTACATGTTAAAGATTAAGGGTAAAAAAATAAAACCTAGTTCCAAATTGAACAAAACCATATCCTTTGCCAGCATAAATTTTGACCGACACAATCTCCCCGAATTGCACAAACGCTTGCTTAAGCTCCTCCTCCGCCACATTAAGATCCAAATTACCAATACAAACCTGCAACACAAAACGATGTAAGTAAGAGCACCTTAATAAAACCACATTAATCATAGGTCAGTGATGTATCCAACTTACAGTGGTATTGTTCACATCATTTTCCGGGGCAACAGTATTCACCGGAGCAGTGTACGCAGGATATTGATATATTGCTGCAAAGTAATTCATAGTTAAGTGTCTCTTCTAAGTTGTACAAAAATAAAAATAAAATAAAAGGATTATGGAAAAAGTTCAACATCTCAATGGGATACGTCCACCGGCATCCACCACAAGTGATTAATATTAACCACATTGATAACAATAGTCATTACTATTATCCATATACGAGACAAAATTAATCACTTTTGTAAACATAATTAACCATGCATCCAGGTTGACGCTGGGTGGACATGTCCCAACAATATTATTACTAGAATTCAATAATTTCATTACAATATTAAAATTAGAAAAATGTTAACTAGTGCCCTAAGGCACGGATTAAAAATCAAAAGCAATTTTTTTATTGAAAAGTGCATCTACACATACTCCCATGTAACTATTATGCATTTCAATAAGAATATTTTACATCTTAGGTCCTTAACGAATGTCTTAAGGATAGTATTTGGTTAGCAAAACTCTTAAAATTAACCACAGTGCTATATACATTTTTTTTCTTCTAGGATCCATATCCATGTCCATATCCCAAAGCAGACAATCAATAACAAATCTCCGAACAAACATGTAATAATAACATTTATTTACTCTTTATCATCTGTGAGGTAAAATTAATCCTATTACCCCATGATAACACAATGACTTGGCAGGAAAACATAAAGATTTAAGTAAGGTCATGATGTTTTTAATGACAAATCAATAATTATATATAAGCAAATTGATTTGCTCCTAGTGGTAGCCACTTATAAAGTAAAGTTAAGGTGGAGAGTGGATGGAAAATTGGGGATTATACCTTTAGGCGGAGCATATTGGTGTTGAAAAGAAGTGGATTTCTTAGGCGTAGCAGCGCTGATACGCATAGGGCGAGTGGAGCAATAAACGCCGTTCATCTCAGTCATGGCGCGGTTCCTGTGGGCCTCATCCGCGAACTTAACGAAGCCGTAACCCTTGGAGCGGCCCGTGACGGGGTCGGTGACCACTTTGGCCCCTTTAACGGAGGGATAATGGGCCCGAAAGGTCTCCTGGAGGAGGAAATCGGTGACGTCGGGCGCGAGATCGCCGACAAAGATGGAGTGGTCGGGCCCAGCGTCGCCGAAGGAGGCCCAATTGAGGCGGAAGGTCTGTTCCGTTCCGGGCATTTGCGTGCCGTTGTAGGTGCGGAGAAAGGCTTCGGCGGCGGCGTGCGAGACGAACTCGACGAAGCCGTACCCCTCGGGTTGCCCCGTCACCTTGTTGCGTATGATTTTTATGGAAACCACTTCGCCGCTGTGTGCGAAGCACTGAGACAGATACGACTCGTCCACCCAATACTGCAAATCCCCAATCCACAGTGTTCGCACTTCCTCAATCGCCGTCGACACCATCTTTCACCGATTTCTTTTTCTTTTTTTCTTCGCCTTGCTATGCCTGCTTTTAAATTCAAACACTCCTATGGGCCTGGGCCCGCTTTTGCTCCGGCCCATCAATATCCTTTCATGAATTTTGATGAAATTGTCATGCTTCCTCCATCCCACACTGGCTTTACTGCTTATTAAAGTTTTTTACATTTGATATAATTTTATTAAAGTAATTTACTCTTTTTTAATAATATCTTATTTTTTATTATGTGATATTTCTAATTATCATGTTCTTTTTTGTAATAAGTTATTTTTAAAATGATGATATATTTAGGTGAAGGTTATAACGAGAGAGTGTGTGATCTCTCCCACCATAAAAAACATAGTTTTCGTAGTTAGATATAATAATTATAAAATGAGTTAATCACCTATACACTATTAATGTAAAAAAAATTTACACGCGCAACTAATTATATTTTTAATAGTGTCACGTCAGTTACTTATTTAATGAAATAAAAATAAAAAAATAATTTAAAAGATATGATTAATTGTCAGTATAAAAAAACTTTACACTAACAATGTATGAATGATTAACTCTTGTAAAATTAATACTTCAAATGATTTTTCTTTTTCCTTTATGTTTCCTGATTTATCCCTAGTTACACTCTTCTCTTTCGATCCTAAACCATAACAATAACATTATAGTTATCGTGACTAATAATTCTACTGCATCGTGACCACTAGGTCTCTCATCAAATTTTGTTGACACTTTCACTACCTATTACAACAACCAAATCTCCAAACCCAACACAATCATAGGATCTACAAACCCTCAACCAAGAATCCGAATGTAATAACCAAATCTCCAAACCTAGAAAAAAAAAAAACTTGCAACACTTGCAAAAATAGACATTTTTTCCCTTTTATATGAAGTTGAGGAATCTTTTTAAAACTATCATCTATAAAATAACACTAATAACACTTATTGTTAGGAATGAAAGAAGAATAATTATTAGTCAATGTTTTAAACTTTTAGTCATAATCATAATGTAATTTGTATAATTAACTTTACCAAAGAATTAAAATTTTTAATTAAGAAACTTAAAATTTCTCAATAAGTGATTAAGGTTAAAATATTGTTGTTGGTTGTTGGATTAATGAAATTATTACTAAAAATTGAATAATTTGAACAATACATGTGAGAAAGAGGTAAATGAAATAAATCTTTGGCATTATTTAAATTTGAATTACAATAGATCTTTAATTTGCTTCCATAAATTGAAACCCTAAAAATGCTTTATTTATTTTTTGTATTTTAAAACCCAAACCATATATTTTTCTAATTACCACTAAATTAGTTTGCAACAATTGTTATGCTTGCACAAACTCAAAAGTCTATCAATTTTAAATTTTGAGTTTTTGACCTAAATTAAACTCATAAATCAACTTGTAAAATTATATATATTATTTTTAGCTATATTATTAGTCAATGTAGAATTTTTAATATTAACAAATAACTAAACACACTAAGTTTTAACTAGTAAACATGAAAGTCAAAGAGAGAGATCACTAGTTTGTGTTGTTTATTTTATTTTATTTTATTTTTCTTTAATTAATATCATCCAAATTAGTTAATGTAAAATTTTCAATACTAACAAGTTATCAAACACGCTAAATTTTAAACTATAGTAAACATGAAAGACAAAGAGAAAGACCACTAGTTTGACTTATTTATTTACTTTTTTTATCAATTAATATCATCCAAACTAAAAAGGTTATGATATTTGTATAGTGCACAATTTTATAATTTTATTTATGATAATTGTTAAATATGTCAATATCTTTTACTCAATTTAGGTAATTCTCAAGTTTATCTTATATGATTTAGAGCCACGTGTCTATCAAAAATATTTTAATTTAATCTTGTTTAATTAGTAAGTTTTTGAAAGTTTTAGGGTCTTTTGATTCTTTTTGTTAATTTTTGAGATATAAGAATGAAGGGAGGAGTTCAGGCCAACAAGAAAGAGACGTTAAGGATGATAAGCTCGCTTAAGGGAACCAACTCTTAACGAGACAAGATTGAAAGCACTAAGCATAAGGAACTTCCACATAAAGCAAAGATAAAGCACACCCTAAACAAACATATGCTCACTCGGGCGAGTCACTTGGCCACTTAAGTGAGTAAGAGCAAAGATAGCACTTAGAGCACTCATAAGGTATTATCTCAAGCGAGCTAACTGGTCGCTCTAAGCAAATGGACACCATAAGCCCATATGGATATGTCAATGAGCTCGCTTAAGTGATCCAATTTTGTCGCTTAAGAAAGGATGCTCCTAAGAAAACTCATTTACAACATTATAAAATTAAGGCTTAAGAAAAATAGAGAATGCTTTGTATTTAGCTTATTTTAGAGAGACTGAGAGTGAGAGCTTTGTAATCACATATTCCTCAACGGTATCTTTTTGTCTTTGTGTGAATTCCTTAACCATAGAGTGGCTAAGTCTCTTTTTGTTAAAGATTGATGTAGTTGTCTGGCTCTACTTGTAACTCTTTACTATTTTTGTTCAATTAAAGTTTTTATTTAGTTAGTTATTATTTTCTTTCTTCTTATTGCATGTTTTGGTTTGATCATGCAAAGCATGATCACATAGAATTAATTAAGACTGAGAAACGCGCTCTTGAAACTACAATATAAAGAACAACACTAATAACACACGTTTAATGTTATGAATATGATAAGAATCATTAGTCAATGTTCTAGACCTCTGATCTTAATGCAAGTTGTTTAATTAATTGTACCAAAAAAATTAGATTTTTAAAAAGAAATCTAAAATTTCTTTTCTAACACATTAAGGTTAAAATATTTTCATTTGTTGTTAAATTAACTTGATAACTACTAAAATTAAATAATAATTAGGAAGAATACGTGTGAGGAAAGTAGTGGATTAGTCTTTGATATCTTTTATTATAAATTTTTCATCTATCTTTTTAATCTATTTTCTTACTCCAAATCCCTAAAAATGCATTCTTCAAACAATCTTTCTTTTTATTTTTCCTAATTAACATTAAATTGATATTTCAACATGTGTATATTTCACACGTTAAATTTTTATTATATATAAATATATTTTATAATATATAATATATTTAAATATGAATATATAAATTATATTTAAAATTTGAATAAACTGTTTATTTTTAAATATATAAATTTTATTTTCGATTTAATATAAATAACATTTTGTGACATGAGTTTATTTTTAATTATTGATAATTTATTTTAAAAATATTAAATTTTAATTCATAAATAGATAAAGTAAATAAAAATTAATTTTAATAAAAAGTTAAAAAAATTCTAAAAAAAACTCTTCCACCAAAAAATAATCTTTAAAAGCACTTTCAGGAAAAATAATTATTTATGTTTAATATACAGAAAGAAATTGATTAGATTAATTAGTTATTATACAAATATATTATCCATTTTACTATTTACAATTGACAAATGTATAACGTATATTCTCTCTTTATATCGTAGGTGTCGTGGTGCTATGGGTGAACAAGAATATTTTATTTTTGAAACTAAAAAGAATCTGCTTGTTAATTTCTTGTAAGTGGCATACTTAGAGATATAGAGAGAGAGGGAGTGCGAGTGAGCAAATCTTGAATTCTTCTTTTAGTAACACAAGAGTACGTATCAAATCAAATTTTATGTCAAAAGTTCATGATTCGTGAATTTCATCATGATCATAACGTCATAGAGAAAACTGGAATCCAACTCCAACGAAAAACAAAATATGGTATTAATGTATATTTGGAAAAAGAAATTAATACAAACTTCTGAATTAAAACCAATACAAACACATGATGGACCACACTACAGCCAAAATAAGACCCTCACTTTAGTGTAGACCCTATTATTAATGAATGAGTGATAACAAATTAACCGCAATAATGCTGAACATAATTTTATTGAAAAAACATTCAAATTGATTTAACCGCAAACTTAATATACGGGAGGAGGGGGAGAGTTATAGAGGTAAGGGTGATATGGTGGTGGCGAAGGTGATGGTGGAGGTGGAGACTTGTAGTAATATGGAGGAGGCGGTGAAGGTGACGGAGGTGGTGGTGACTTGTAATAATATGGTGGAGGAGGCGATGGAGAAGGTGGTGGTGGAGACTTATATACGTAAGGGGGAGGTGGTGAAGGTGAAGGAGGTGGTGGTGACTTATAGATATAGGGTGGAGGAGGCGAGGGAGACGGTGGGGGTGGAGATTTGTAGTAATATGGAGGAGGAGGTGAAGGAGATGGTGGGGGTGGAGACTTGTAGACATATGGAGGAGGTGGCGAAGGGGATGGAGGTGGTGGTGACTTGTAGACATAGGGTGGAGGGGGTGAAGGTGATGGTGGAGGTGGAGATTTGTAGTAATATGGAGGAGGTGGTGAAGGTGATGGTGGGGGAGGTGACTTATAAATATATGGAGGTGGTGGTGAGGGAGATGGAGGAGGAGGAGATTTGTAGACATAGGGAGGGGGAGGAGAAGGTGATGGAGGAGGTGGAGATTTGTATACATATGGTGGGGGAGGAGAGGGAGACGGTGGTGGTGGAGACTTGTAAACGTAGGGAGGTGGCGGTGAAGGAGATGGGGGAGGTGGGGACTTGTAAACATATGGTGGAGGAGGGGAAGGAGATGGTGGTGGTGGTGACTTATAAACATATGGAGGAGGTGGTGAAGGGGATGGAGGAGGTGGGGACTTGTAAACATATGGTGGAGGAGGAGAAGGAGATGGTGGGGGAGGAGACTTGTAAACATATGGTGAAGGTGGTGATGGAGAGGGAGGTGGTGGTGACTTGTAAACATATGGTGGAGGAGGTGATGGGGATGGTGGGGGTGGGGATTTGTAGACATATGGAGGAGGAGGTGAGGGTGATGGTGGTGGAGGAGATTTATAAACATATGGAGGTGGTGGGGATGGAGAAGGAGGTGGAGGGGACTTGTAGACATATGGTGGAGGAGGAGATGGAGATGGTGGTGGGGGAGACTTGTAAACATAAGGTGGAGGTGGTGAGGGAGAGGGTGGGGGTGGAGACTTGTAGACATATGGAGGAGGTGGTGAAGGAGATGGAGGAGGAGGGGACTTGTAAACATATGGTGGAGGAGGAGAGGGGGATGGAGTTGGTGGAGACTTATAGACATTTGGTGGGGGAGGTGAAGGAGATGGTGGTGGTGGTGACTTGTAGTAATATGGAGGAGGTGGTGAAGGGGATGGTGGTGGTGGTGACTGATATACATAGGGTGGAGGAGGCGAGGGAGATGGTGGTGGTGGTGACTTGTAGTAATATGGAGGAGGTGGTGAAGGGGATGGTGGTGGTGGTGACTTATATACATAGGGTGGAGGGGGTGAGGGAGATGGTGGTGGAGGGGACTTGTAGTAATATGGAGGAGGTGGTGAAGGAGATGGTGGTGGTGGTGACTTATAGACATAGGGTGGAGGAGGTGAGGGAGATGGTGGTGGAGGGGACTTGTAGTAATATGGAGGGAATTTGTAGACATAAGATGGTGGTGGAGGTGGAGATTTGTAATAATATGGTGGTGGCTTGTAATAGTAAGGTGGTGGTTTTACTTGGTAAGATGGTGGTGTTTGTGGATAGTAGTTGTCAGATGGTTGGCCATAGTAAGGCTTATAATCATCAGCAGAAACAGTGATAGCAATAAGGCAAAATGCCAATGCATGGATCAGTCGAGGCCATTGCCTCGTTCCCATATTCTCTGATTAAGTGAGCACTACCCCTTCTTCTTTTTCTTGTTCTACTCTATTAATTCTTGCTTTGCAATCTACGGATTCTAAGCCTTTATATAGTGTTTGCCTTCATCATATCTTTGTTAGATGACAGACTGGCTGAAAGTTTTAAAATATATTTACATTATTTTAACATTTCAACTTGAAGTTGTGGTTGTGGTTGTCCATTAAACGATTTCATATTTTAATTCATAACACGGGGTATGAACAAAGTCAAGAAGGGAGATGGTGATGGCATGCCTTCTTGTTAGATTTACAGAAGAAATATAATAAAAGCGCGTCATAGGCTCATAGCAGACAGCTGCTATGATTATTTCCTATGCCTTTTACATATATAGAACTGGACATTATAATAATCCTGAGCTTAAAATCTGAAAAAATCTGATAAAGTCAAATGCAGAACAATTGCCTGAATCTCTATATATCTTTTTCTTTATAATTATATTTGCTTCTTTCTTTCTAATGGCCATATTCTGGATCATAAAAACATTAATTTATCTCTGTTGCTATTTTATATTTACATTGTCGGAGAAAAGTTAAAACTGCTTCAGCTTATAAAACATCCTTGTCAACTCAAGGGCTAACTAACATGCATGACAGATAATGATAAGGTTGTAGAGAATTCAATGTGGTTTTAAAAAATTATTTTTTGACTTGGTATAATTAATATTTCATATGCCAATTGACCTGTCTTAATTCTTTTCATAATATCACATGCATGTATATACCTCTAGCCGCGTATTTTTCACCACCAGAAGCTTGTTCTAATATTCTTTGATCAATTCCACTCCGGGACTAGATTTTTTATAATGCTAGCAGTAATTTTGTAATTTGTGAATTTGAAAGCTCGTGGATTGTCTCGTAAATAAGAAGTTCTTGGTGTCGATCGGAAGGTAGATCTCGACTGTGAAAAGATATCTTGAAATAATGTTATATATTTATTTATTTTGGTGTTGAACATGTAATAATGTATTGTTTATTTGATTTGACAGTAAGACTATAAAAATATATACTTTGATTAACACGTCGCGTACCTGTTGAATGCACGTTTCTTTTTAATTCAATTAGTACCTCCAACTCCCTGATAATTCTCATACTGTTATTTATTTTTATGAGAAATTCTTGCGCAGTTTTATCAAATTAATCCCACTTGTAGTCTTCAATTACCGCCCATTTAATTCGAATTACATTAATTAGTACAGTGCAAGTTCAGGTGACGGGACTTTTTACATTGAGTTCATTATATTCAATTCATGACACTGTATGTTAATCAGAAATTGATTGTCATATGCATTGATATGTTGCATGTGTCTGATGTTTATTACAGTGGTTTCTCCATAGAAATGTGGTTAGGAGCATGCAGATTCTAAGCTGATTGAACTATACTTGTCATTCAATTGCATATCTCAATTCTCAACACACATTGCTGCACTTTATTAATTGCATTATCAGATGAATAAAAATTATATCGAATGGTTATATTTTTCCTTTAATTCATGTTGCTAGCCTAATTGTGCCACGGGTTTGAACACGAAATGATTATGGAAAGGGATTACGGTGCATCTCCCAATTGATCATATTGATGCTTACTTTTATTATATATATTTTTCCAAGTCTGAAATAACTGGATAAAATTTAACCGTTTGTGTCCCTTGTATTATACTCATAGCTAAGGTTTTGGATTAACTTGTTCATCCAAGTAGTTTGAAACTCCCACTACTAAATTTGTGCCATTTCTTGCATGGATTGTTTAATTTTAATCTGGTAATTAAACTTGGAAGTTAAAAGAGGGACCATGCACTCAGAAAGTGAGTAACTTAATTACTCAGGATCCATTTTTAGAAGAGTACCACTTTTTATTTCTTTTTTGGTAATGATTTTTTATTTAATATATATATAAATTAAAATACAAAATAATATAAAAATTAAACAATCACCGATAATTAGTCAATTAATATCCATAATTATGAGAAAATGAACTGACATTCACAATATTATTATCCATAATGTTAAATGAAATTAAAGGAGAGTGTGATATATTATTTCCTTCGGTTTCTCCATCTTTGATCTCTGTTTATTCTCCTTGTCGTCCCATTGTGTTAGACGTATAGATTACTTGATCACACGATTATGCAAAATAATTGCGTTGTGGCACTGCCAAATCCAAACCAAATTTGATTTTCTTTTCACCGATTATCTCTGTTACTCTCTCCGATCTCTTTGGCACAATGAGTCCTATTATTTGGTTATATACGTCTTTAGGAATTGAGGTTGTGGGTTCAATGTATAACGCCCAAGTTGTCTAGTTGGGTAACAAAATCAATTGTGATATTAGTGGTCAACCACACGCATTTGACTAATTATTATTATTTTTAAAATCAATTAAAATTTATCATAATCTTATAAAATTGATTTATAAAATAAAAATCATTCTTCATTTATATATATTATTATGTTCTCATCTCTAGCCAACATGGTATCTTCAATAATCATGATATTTGATTAATTATTTAATTTATATAAATGTAATTTTCATAATATGTGACTAATTGTTATGAATATTTTAATTATTAATTCAATTTAATATTTTTTAAGAAAATTGTGATTAAATTTAAACTTTGATGTTTGACACACGCAAAAGAAATAACCTAGCCAACACTGCCCCTGAATAAGAGACATGCCTGTGTTTAAGTTTAGAAGAAAAGACGAAAAATAATTATAAAACACTGGCTAAAACAAGCGAAAATTGTATCAAAAATAATTTAGAATCATGTCTCAAATTTTTTGTTGTTAAAGTTTGTTTTTTCTTTTTTAATTTGTGTTGTTTCCTTTTTATTTTTACTTTACAAGTGCATATCTTTAATTAGTTATGTTTATGGATAACATGATACGATCGGTTTCAAGAACAAGTCTATTTAACTAATTTGTTTCTATTTAATTAGACATCTAAACTAAAAATGATTCACAATTAATTCCATATATAGGATAATTATCAAATATGTATATAATTTTTATTTAATTTAGATAATTATTAAATATATCTTATGTTTCAAAATTTTATTTTTGATCGTAAAACACTTAGTCAAAAGTTATTTTTATTTTAGGATATAATTGTTTAAAATTAGATATTTTTAATATTGTTTTAGTTGAAATGTGACATGGGAAGAATATAATTTGAAAACTACAAACCTCAAATAGAAACCATCGCTCCAAGATCACTTGGATATATATGCTTTCAGTGAGTCAAATTCACTTAAAGTACTCAACAACTTGCTTTAAACGGGCTAAGTCAAAGACTACAATTAAGAGATAAAGTTAGCTCACTTAAGCAAGTAGAGTACTCACTTTAAGTGAGTTGAAATTTGCTTAAAGCAACCAAAACCTTGCTTGTAATGAGTTAAGTTAGAAAGTATACCCTGGAGGATGATGCTAGCTCGCTTAAGTGAGCAAATTACTCGTGTTGAGCATGTGAAATTCGATTAGAGCGGTTACATAAGTGCTCCAAGCAAGTCAAATCAAAAACAACCTCTAAAAGGATTGAACAAGGTCACTTGAGCAAGCTACATAGACACTCTAAGAGAGCATACACGAACAAAAGTCTATTTTAAAATGTTATAAATTAGGATTTTTAGGAGATTTTTGTATTTGGGTTTTTTTTTAACACAATTTTTGATAGATTAAAAAGGGTTTTATGAGACAATATTTTTGTAGTCGCGAATCATTCAAAATTGTTTTCTTTATTGTATAAGTCTTAGATATGAGTGGTTATATCTCTATTGTTAAAGATTAAATCGGTTATTGTACTTATATAACTTTGTGTTTTCGTTCAATAAAATATTTTTATCCAGTTAATCGTTTTACTTTATACTTAATACTTAAACTAGGGTTGGAAAACCCTTTCAGAATTATGATATAGGTAAAATATTTATAAAACTTATTACTAGAAATAAAATGAGTTTTATTAGTCATTTTTTTGTCTCTGACCTTAATGCAGATTGTTTAACAAAAATTATCAAGGAATTGAAATTTTCCTTAAACAACCTATAATTTCTCATTTAAGGAATTGAGGTTTAAATATAATTACATATTATTGAATTAATCGTATAATTTCTAATATTGAATGAAAATTTAAGAAAATTTACATGACAAAAGTTAGTGAATCCATCTCCGACTATTCTCATATTATAAATTCAAATTTTCTATTAGCCCATTGCATGTCTTTTCTTTTTATAAATTTCTTATATTTCATGTTAAACAATTCTCAATTTTCATTAGTTTATTTGTTTAATATTAAAATTTAATTAAATAATTATAACTCAAAATTTTCTAATTAAATTTGATAAGTTATACTTCTATCTAATTTATTATTTATATCAATCGGTATATAATTGTGAAAGTAACAATATCCACTTGTTAAATTTATGTCTCAGAACTTATAAAGAGAAAGAGAGGGAGAGTGTCAATGAGCAAACCTCGATTTATATATCCTTTTAGTAACACAGGAGTGCAATCAAATCAAATTTTATCATAAAAATTCATTACTCGTGAATGTCTTGTTGATCGAATCTACACAATGCATCCAGGAAAATGGAAACAAAAACCAACGAAGAACAAAATATGATATTAAATGTATATATAATTCGAAAAAGAAATTAATACACACTTATGAATTAAAACCAATACAAACACATGGGCTACACTACAGCCAAAATAAGACCCTCACTTTAGTCCCTACTATTAATGAATGAGGGATAACACAATGCCACAAAATAAGGCTTACTTCAGTGTAGACCTTATTATAAACAAATTCTTAATTACAAATTAACCACAACAATGTTGAACATGATTTTATTGGAAAAAAAAATCAAATTGTTGTAGCCGCAAACTTAATATACGGGAGGTGGGGGTGAGTTATAGAGGTAAGAGTGATATGGTGGAGGAGGTGAATGTGATGGTGGAGGTGGAGACTTGTAGTAATATAGAGGAGGTGGTGAAGGTGATGGTGGAGGAGGCGACTTGTAGTAATATGGTGGAGGAGGCGATGGAGAAGGTGGTGGTGGAGACTTATACACGTAAGGAGGAGGTGGTGAAGGTGAAGGAGGTGGTGGTGACTTATAGATATAGGGTGGAGGAGGCGAGGGAGACGGTGGGGGTGGAGATTTGTAGTAATATGGAGGAGGAGGTGAAGGAGATGGTGGGGGTGGAGACTTGTAGACATATGGAGGAGGTGGCGAAGGGGATGGAGGTGGTGGTGACTTGTAGACATAGGGTGGAGGGGGTGAAGGGGATGGTGGAGGTGGAGATTTGTAGTAATATGGAGGAGGTGGTGAAGGTGATGGTGGGGGAGGTGACTTATAAATATATGGAGGTGGTGGTGAGGGAGATGGAGGAGGAGGAGATTTGTAGACATAGGGAGGGGGAGGAGAAGGTGATGGAGGGGGTGGAGATTTGTATACATATGGTGGGGGAGGAGATGGAGACGGTGGTGGTGGAGACTTGTAAACGTAGGGAGGTGGCGGTGAAGGAGATGGGGGAGGTGGGGACTTGTAAACATATGGTGGAGGAGGGGAAGGAGATGGTGGTGGTGGTGACTTATAAACATATGGAGGAGGTGGTGAAGGGGATGGAGGAGGTGGGGACTTGTAAACATATGGTGGAGGAGGAGAAGGAGATGGTGGGGGAGGAGACTTGTAAACATATGGTGGAGGTGGTGATGGAGAGGTAGGTGGTGGTGACTTGTAAACATATGGTGGAGGAGGTGATGGGGATGGTGGGGGTGGGGATTTGTAGACATATGGAGGAGGAGGTGAGGGTGATGGTGGTGGAGGAGATTTATAAACATATGGAGGTGGTGGGGATGGAGAAGGAGGTGGAGGGGACTTGTAGACATATGGTGGAGGAGGAGATGGAGATGGTGGTGGGGGAGACTTGTAAACATAAGGTGGAGGTGGTGAGGGAGAGGGTGGGGGTGGAGACCTGTAGACATATGGAGGAGGTGGTGAAGGAGACGGAGGAGGAGGGGACTTGTAAACATATGGTGGAGGAGGAGAGGGGGATGGAGGTGGTGGAGACTTATAGACATATGGTGGGGGAGGTGAGTGAGATGGTGGTGGAGGGGACTTGTAGAGATATGGAGGGGATTTGTAGACATAAGGAGGTGGTGGAGGTGGAGATTTGTGATAATGTGGTGGTGGCTTGTAATAGTAAGGTGGTGGTTTTACTTGATAAGATGGTGGTGTTTGTGGATAGTAGTTGTCCGATGGTTGGCCATAGTAAGGCTTATAATCATCAGCAAAAACAGTGATAGCAATAAGGCAAAATGCCAATGCCTGGATCAGTCGAGGCCATTGCCTCGTTCCCATATTCTCTGATTAAGTGTTCACCCCTTCTTCTTCTTCTTCTTCTACTCTATTAGTTCTTGCTTTGCAAACTACGGATTCTAAGCCTTTATATAGTGTTTGCCTTCATCATATCTTTGTTAGAAGACAGACTGGCTTAAATTTTTTAAATATATTTACATTATTTTAAAATTTCAACTTGAAGTTGTGGTTGTCCATTAAACGACTTCATATTTTAATTCACAACACGGGGTATGAAGAAAGTCGATCAAGAAAGGATTTTGTGATAGCATGGCTGAATGAGTTATAGTTAAATTTAAATAAGCAATATAATAAAATCGCGTCCTAGCAGACAGCTGCTATGATTATTTCCTTTGCCTTTTACATATATAGAACTGGACATTATAATAATCCGAAGCTTAAAATCTGATAAAAGCTGATAAAGTCAAATGCAGAACAATTGCCTGAATCTCTATATATCTTTTTCTTTATAATATTATATTTGCTTCTTTCTTTCTAATGGCCATATTTCTGGATCATAAAAACATTAATTTATCTCTGTTGCTATTTTATACTTATATTGTTGGAGAAAAGTTAAAACTGCTTCAGCTTATAAAACATCCTTGTCAACTCAAGGGCTAACTAACATACATGACAGATAATGAGAAGGTTGTAGAGAATTCTCAATGTGGTTTAAAAAAATTAATTTTCGACTTGGTATAATTAATATTTCATATGCCAATAGACCTGTCTTAATTGTTTTCATAATAACACATGTATATACCTTTTGCCTTGTATTTTTCACCACCAGAAGCTTGTTCTGAAATTCTTTGATCATTCCCCTCCGCGACTAGATTTTTTTTTTTTTTTTATGCTAGCAGTAATTTTGGTTATCATATTTTAAGATAAGCAGTATTAATTATATAAATATATGTATATATATATATATATATATATATATAAAGGTTATGAAATGTAACTTTATTAAAGGGATTTCAGGATAGGAGATTATGAGATGATGGTTTATAAAATAAAGATGTAACTTATTATATATATGAATGAGACTCGGGAATTAGGAGGAGGAGTTATTATATGAGAGTTTATAAAATATAAAATGTGAGAAAAATATACCATCATACCTTATAGATTAAAATTAACCAAAAATAATGAAATATTGTTAGATTAGGTTATGATATATTTTTATATGATAAATAAGGAAAATGTGAATATACATTAAAATAGTATATGTGTAATAACGATAAGGAAAGTAAATAAACATTTAAATTTACAATAGTGAAAAAAATTGGTATATATATATTGTTTATAAAGATAAAATATATATTTTATTTTGATATATAATTATTATTTATTAGATAAGAAATTGTTCATTTAATATAAAAAAATATATAAGAGATATTTATACGTTTTTAAAATAAAATTTAGGATATTTAAATAAGAATAAATATAAGAAAGAGTGAAAAAAAATAAAATATTTCTAAAACAAAATATTATTCTAATTTATATAAAGTAATTTTGATCGTAAAGTTTATACCAAAAATATTTTATAAAATTTTGTTAAAATATTCAAATTAAAGATATTTTTTTAATTTTAAAATTAGAAAATAAAAATTATTTTTCTAAAAATAAAAATAAAAAATATTTTCTGAAATCAAACACACCCGAGTGATTCTTCTCTGATTTAATTTTATATATAGACATGTTGTTAATAATGGTGCATACTTCTTGTGTAAAATCACAAGAATCAAATCTAAAAATTTGCACATATTATCTTAATTTACAAATTTGTACCTCAATCCCAAGATCAGTATATATCTTCTAAAAAAAATTTTAATTACATTACAAAATACCTATTAATTTTTAATTTTGTGGATCATTAATTCCCTCTAAAAAAAAATTAATTTGTTCCGGTTTTAATTACAAGTTACTTCGCAACATTATATATTCACGACATGTGTCACCCGCATCTTCTTTATTATTTCTATTTTCAGTTATCCCACGTCGGTTTATAGTCTTTCTTAAATAACTTTTTTTAATTAATATCTAAGAATATCTTTGGTTGCTGAGAATAGAACCTAAGTTCTAATATTTTTAATTATTCTAATTTCTCTTCATTTAATTACTAGGCTAATCTTATATTAAACATGTTTTATCAGACATGTTTTGTTAAATAGTTATATAAATAATACATAATGTTCCATTTTAATAAATAATTATGTTACGGTGTTTTAAATTCAATTTTTATTTATATTAAAATAATATTTAATGACTGAAAATTATTTTATAAATATAAAATAACCTTTAATTATTAATTTTAAAATAATGCATGAATTATGTTTATTAAAAAAATAAAATAGTTATATAAATAAACATATTATACATGAGAAGAATGTTAAAAGATCTCGAAATAATTTTTCTCAAACACAGGAAAATTATAAAATATTTCTCCCCTGTACTTTCTCTTAAAGTATTTTCTCTCTCCAGTTATGTAGTAGTATGTTTATTATTCTTTCCTCATGATTGATTAAAAAGTTATCCATAATACTTTTTTTTCGATAAACTATTCAAACCCAATAAAAATGTTGCATCATATTGTTTCCTTTCTTGTAATTTTTTATAATGCAATTTGAAATGTCGTTTTTTTTTTTTGTTTGACATGGTAACATACATCTCTTTTCTCTAGCAAAAAGTAATTGTATCTAGAACACAAATTCTTAGCAAGTCTTTAAGTGAATGGCTTGTTTTTTTATTATTGATTGTCTATATGTAAATGATAGGTGAAACTCAATCTCAACCTTGTTCTCAAAACTTGATGCAAACTCTATCAGAACCTAAAAGTAAATCTTGAATCTTGATTAGAGATAATACTAGAAGACATTCAATGTAATTGTACTATCTTCATGATATACAACTGAGTGAGCTTCTCCAAGGACTACTTCTTATTGATAAGAAGAAAGTGCATACACTTGGTCAACTTATCAATAATCATTAAGATAACATCATTGTTCCTAGCCAACCTAGGCAATGCAACAATATGAAGTCCATGGAGATGATATCCCACTTCCATTCTGGTATCCCCAACAATTACAATAACTCTCTTGGTTTTTTGTGCTCAATCTTAACCTCCTGATAAGTTAGACAAGTTGTCACATACTTTGTCACATCTTTTCATACCAAACCACCAATAATTCTGTTTGATATCCTGATATATCTTAGTCATACTAGGATGTATGTTAAGCTTGCTCTTATGAGCTTCCTCCAATATCGTTTTCCTCAACTCTAATCTTGAGATAGGCAAATTCTATCCTTAAATCTCAAATCTCATCATTGCCCAACTCAAAGCCAACTACCTACTTTGAACCAAGTAGCCCCAAGATCTTTAACAAATCTTGATCTTGCAACTGCTTCACACCAATTTGCCTCAAGAACTCATTGGCTATGGTAATCAACTCACAACTAATGTGATTCAAAGCAAAGTCCACGAAGAGATTCAAATTTCTAAATTACTCAATCAACTCCAACTCTTTGGCCATTAGTGAAGAAACATGGATGAATTTCCTGCTTAATTCATCCATCACTACATTGACGTTCCCTGAGTGATACAACAGTTGAAAATCATAATCCTTTAGGAACTCCATCCACCTCCTCTACCTCATATTCAACTCCTTATGATCAAACAAGTACTTAAGACTTTTATGATAGCTAAAGACATTAAACTTGACACCATACAAGTAATGTTTCCAAATCTTAAAGGCAAGTACCATTATCTCTAGCTCTAGGTCATGAGTATGGTGTAATTCCTTTCATGCATCTTCAACTGCCTTGAAGCATAAGCAACCATTCTCCTATGCTGCATAATTATTAAATATATTTTCTGTTTTAAAATCTTTTTTTTTTGTCGTAAAATACTTAGTCAAAAGTTATTTTTATTTTAGGATATAATTGTTTAAAATTATATATTTTAATATTTTTTAGTGGAAATGTGACATTATGAGGAAAATATAATTTAGAAGTTACAAATCTCAAATGGAAATCATTGCTCCAAGATCAATTGGATGCGCTCTAAGTGAGCCAAATTTCCTTAAAACACCCAACAACTTGCTTTGAACAAGTTAAGTCTGATAATACAATTAGGAGATGGAATTAGCTCACTCTAGCAAGTAGAGTGCTCGATTGCTTGCTCTGAGTAAGCTAAAATTTGCTCAAAATGACCAAAACCTCGCTTGTAACGAGTCAAGTTAGAGAATATTCCCTAGAAGAGGGTGTTATCTCGCTTAAGTGAGCAAGCTACTTGCATTGAGTAAGTGAAATTCGCTTAGAACGATCACATAGATGCTCCAAGTGAGTCAAGTCAAAGATCATCTCTAGAAGGATCGAACAAGCTCGCTTGAGTGAGTCACATGGGCGCTCTAAATGAGCATACACGAACAAAAGCCCATTTAGAATGTTATAAATTAGGATTTTTAGGATATCTAGGTTTTTTTAACACAATTTTTAAGAGATTAAAAAGGGTTTTGTGAGAAAGCATATTTGTATTCATGAATCATTCAAAAATAAAATCTTTATTGTGTAGTCTTTAGTTATGAGTGGCTAAGTCTATATCATTGAAGATTGAAGTGACTACTATACTTATATAACTCTTTGTATTTTCATTCAATAAAATATATTTATTCAGTTAATCGTTTTACTTTATACATAATGCTTGTTATGGTTTGATCAACTTATCCATGATATTTAATTTAAATTGAGGTTGAAAAACCTTTTTAGAATTATGATTGAAATAAAACATTAATAACACTTATTACTAGAAATAGAATAAGTCTTATTAGTCAATTTTTGGTCTCTAACTTTAATGTGGATTGTTTAACAATAATTATCAAGAAATTGAGATTTTTCTTAAACAACCTAAAATTTTTCACCTAAAAAATTGAAATTTAAATATAATTACATACTATTAAATTAATTATATAATTTATAATATTAAATAAAAATTTAAAAGAATTTATATGAAAAAAGTTAGTTATAAAATCAAATTTTCTACTATTCCATTGCATGCCTTTTCTTTTTATAAATTTCTTATATTTCACGCTAAACAATTTTCAATTTTCATAGTTTATTTGTATTAAAATTTAATTAAATAATTATAACCGATAATTTAGACCACTATCTAATATACTATCTATAATAATTGGTATATAGTTGTCAAAATAACAATATCCGATTGTTAAATTTGTGTCTCAGAACTTACAGAAAGAAAAGAAAGGGAGGGTGTGAAATGCTGGATTTATCCTTTTAGTAACATAAGAGTGCAATCGAATCAAATTTTATCATAAAAAGTCATGACTCGTGAATGCTTTCTTGATGATATCTTCACAATGCATTGCGGAAAATGGATACAAAAACAAACGAAGAACAGAAATACAGAATATGATATTAAATGTAAATTTGGGAAAAGAGATTAATACAAACTTTTAAATCAACACCAATACACACGTACGCATGGACTGCACTACAGCCAAAATAAGGCTTACTTCAGTGTAGACCTTATTATAAATAAATTCTTAATTACAAATTAACCGCAACAATGCTGAACATGATTTTATTAAAAAAAATCAAATGGCTGTAGCCGCGAACTTAATATACGGGAGGTGGGGGTGAGTTATAGAGGTAAGGGTGATATGGCGGAGGACGGCGCGGTTCTCCCCACGCCCGGCGTGATTCATCTAGAGATTTCCATTCCCAACCTCGCCCGACGCAACCAACCTAGCGCCCGACGTGCTTGGACAATGGAATTCTCTAATGAACACACGCCCGACGCAAATTCAAACAACAACCCTCACAACTTCGAAATTTCAAACAAAAACCTGCAAATCAGCCAGCTAAAATACATGCAATCCACGAAATGAACCGCATTTACATCATACGACTCAAAAATAAGCTCTATTTCAACATGCAACCATCAAAGCATCAAAATCACCATTTTTCCCAATTTTCCCGAAACCCCAAAAATGAGAATTTCTTCAAAATCAATAAACCATTCTCGACATTCTTACTCCCAATGAGTTCTAGAATTCCTACACAGCAAACAAGTTCACAATCTTACTTCCCTTACCTTGAAAAAGAAGAATCTGAGCTCCAGGGAAGAGAAAGAAAAGAAGAAGAACAAGGAGGTTCGCACTTCCGACTAGCCCCTCACGTCTCTACTCAGCACCTTCAACCACAACAATCACCACAAGTGTACCTGTCTAAAGGATACACCAATAATCCTTTCGTATTCTGAGGGCCGAACGAGTGCTCCGAACCAATATTCCGGTGTGGGGGAGGTACCTGCAAAAGGCACTCCGACGCTCAAGTCAGGACAAAGCGCAGATATCGATGGCAATTAATGAACAGTGACCTTACCTCGTGACAAGAGCTATTTATACTGACATTTATGGGCCCGGATTCCCATGGGCCTTGGGACGTGATTACCGGATTAGGTAATACGCCTCTAATCGGCTTACTGGTGTGCTTAACTCTTAATCCTTGATTATCTCCTTATTAGTGGGAACCCGGGGTTATAGATTATCTGGTGGCCGAATGCTTTAATCCCTCACAAATTGCGAGGGATTTAATCCCTCACAAATTGCGACGGATTTTTATTAATTTCTAAACATTTATTGTTAGAAATTAGTGACGAAAATTATACTGTTTGTGATGCCTTAATTCCGTCACTAATTGTGACGGAGAAAATAATCCGTCACTAAATATTTTGTGACGCCAAATTTTGTGACGGAATCAATTCCGTCACGGTGGTGACTTGTAGTAATATGGAGGAGGTGGTGAAGGGGATGGTGGTGGTGGTGACTTATATACATAGGGTGGAGGGGGTGAGGGAGATGGTGGTGGAGGGGACTTGTAGTAATATGGAGGAGGTGGTGAAGGAGATGGTGGTGGTGGTGACTTATAGACATAGGGTGGAGGAGGTGAGGGAGATGGTGGTGGAGGGGACTTGTAGTAATATGGAGGGAATTTGTAGACATAAGGTGGTGGTGGAGGTGGAGATTTGTAATAATATGGTGGTGGCTTGTAATAGTAAGGTGGTGGTTTTACTTGGTAAGATGGTGGTGTTTGTGGATAGTAGTTGTCAGATGGTTGGCCATAGTAAGGCTTATAATCATCAGCAGAAACAGTGATAGCAATAAGGCAAAATGCCAATGCATGGATCAGTCGAGGCCATTGCCTCGTTCCCATATTCTCTGATTAAGTGAGCACTACCCCTTCTTCTTTTTCTTGTTCTACTCTATTAATTCTTGCTTTGCAATCTACGGATTCTAAGCCTTTATATAGTGTTTGCCGTCATCATATCTTTGTTAGATGACAGACTGGCTGAAAATTTTAAAATATATTTACATTATTTTAACATGTCAACTTGAAGTTGTGGTTGTCCATTAATCGACTTCATATTTTCCACAATGGAAACAAAGTCAAGAAGGGAGTTGGTGATGGTACGGATGAATGAGTTATAGTTAGATTTAAAAAAATAATTACAAAAGCGCGTCATTGCAGGCAACTCTGATTATTTCCCTTATCTTTATATGGAGAACAGGCTCAATGATCTCGAGCCTCAAGTGTGAAACAGATGATAAAGTCAAATGCAAAACTTGCCCGAATTCTTTAAAATGTCTTTTCTTTATAATTAGCTTTGGTTCTTTCTTCCAGATGGCCACATGGAAGGATTATAAAAACATAAACTCGTCTCAACTTATTGCTATTTTATGCTAAGATCGTCGGTGAAAACTGATTCAGCTTATGAGACATCCTTGTCAACAGGCTAACTAACATACTTGACGAATGTTAATACTGTAGAAAATTCTCATCGTGGCTTAAATAATTCAATTTTTGACTTGGTATAATTGCTTTATAAGCCAGGAGGTCTAAATTAATTGTTTTAATCAATATCAGGTATGTAGACCATTTGCCTCGATTTTTTCACCACCAAAGTTTGTTCTAATATAGCTCCTTTGATCGGTTCCACCCTGTGACTAGGTTTTTGTTTTACTACAGCAGAAAATCCATTCGTGAGCTCGTACAATGTTTTTTCTGAATGTATCTATAAAAAGTTCCAGGTTTCGAAATTGATCGACTGTGGAAAGATTTGATGTAATGTTATTTATTTTTGTGTTGAACATTGTAATACGTACTATTCTATGTATTGTTTATTTGATTTGATATCGTAAGACTAAAAATAATTAATTTGATTATTATGTTGCTTCCTTGTTGAACGCGTGTGATCTGTTTCATTAATTCAATTAGTCTCTATACCTACCAGCTGATAACTCTCCTTTTAGTTCTTTTTTTAATTTCTACGAATTTTTTCAAATTAATTAGTTTAGCCCCTCTTTGGATTTAGGATCATAACCGATTTATACTTTCGAAGTCATTTAACTGCAGTTTGTAGATGGATACAAAGGTTAATTTTTCCCTTGAATTTCAACTTCTTGCTAGTCTGAAGAGAAAACTTGAGAGGATCGACGTGAAATTATATTAACAGAACCAGAAAATAGAACTGCATGCTAGGTACGTATATAAAAATTTTACAAAAAATCTAGCTATCGCTGCTTCGGTTCCGGTTATTGCAGAAATATAATTATGCCATGGGTTTGAAGTTTGAACACGAAATTAATGATCACAATGCATCTTCCATTTGGTATTGATTCTTACCCATGTTTGTGGTTGTAATACTATATATACTCATAGGCATAGCCAAGGAACTTTAAGAGTCATTCTTCTAGTTTAATTTTATAGTTACGTATGGTGCAATTAAGCTTCTTGTAGTAAAAATGTGCGCTACATAAATGGAAAAAAAGATCATGCACCTGAAAATTAAAAGAGGTTCATGTCATAACTGAGATACTCAAATAATCAGATTTTTCCCATACCTAAAAGGTAACGTACGTGTGGCCTCACGGAGGAGAATATTTAGCTTTAGAAGCCATAGTATTATTTCAAGTCTCAAATTAATTAAAAATATGACTAAAATAATTTATATAAGTAATTAAAAAACGACACTTTCTATTTAATTTATATTAATTCAGGTGTAATTAATAAAGAGACATACTTTGATTAAAAAGTCATTCATATATAATACTTTTTTTGCGATTATTCATGCCCATTAAAATTGTTGTATACATAAACAATTTGCTTCCTACCAGCGCAGGTTGGAACGTCTTTTCGTTTGACATAGCGTCTTCTTTCTCATTGGCCAAAACAATAATTATATCATATTGTTAATTTTAATTAATTAGACATATGAAGGTTGTTTCTAATGGTTCATTTGGTATGTATAATAATTTTGTAAGTGGAGGGCAGACACGGGGAGTGTATACCCTTCTAACTATATATATATATATAATTATATTTGATTATTTATTCAAAACTTAATTAATATTACTTGGTATAGGTTACTTCTATGTCCTGTACCCAGCTCACTTTTGAAGACTTTATTTCGTATGGTGAGGGAAATTAAATACTGTTCTGAATTTTGAGTGAAGCCGTCGTTGGCCCGTACGTTCACACTTTCTCTCCGCAATCGTGTATAAATGAGACGGGAATGATTCAAATCTACACTCATAACAGTATTATTCATTATTTTCTTTAAAAAAAGTTTATATGAATCGGGCCTAAAAGTTCATCAGATCCGGAATAGATTAACGACACTCAAACAATATTACAGAAATACTTACATAGTGTTCACTCACAAAGATTTTACATTGTTTACGAGATCAAACTCGTATCTTCATATAATGTGAGCCATATTTTTATCATTTTGGTTTACCAACTTGGACAATATCAACAACTATTGTATGCGTGGAACCGACTGTTTGAGACATGCATTACTACAACACTACACAAAAATTAACTTTTTGTGGCAATTAATTTATTATTTAGCGGCCATATAAATGATTATTATTTTTTTTACCAGCATTTAAATAAAAGTTGGCGTATCCAGTATCGCTAATACTATTACCGACATTTATATAAAATGCTAGTAAAGATCTACTAAATTGTCAGAAAAACTTATTTCTTTTAGTGACAATTCTAGTAACCATTTTAAAGGCTATTAAAAGTTATTTTTTTCAATTGTCTCATTTACTTTCCTATAATTTCCTTTTCTAAATTCATAACTTATATACTTTTTTTTTATCTCTATTCGATGTAGGATTTGTATGATGAGGGTTGTCTTTTATTTATATATTTCTTAATTTATTTTTTTAATTATCTTGTCTCTTAAGAAATGTGAGATTTATAAGGTGAAAGTTGCTCTCTAATTGTTTTATAACACTATTGAGTTTGGTAATAATAGGTGATTTATACCAATTTATAATAGTGAATTAGAAGTCAACCCTATAAAATGAACCTGTAAGGTGATAGTTATTATTCACTTATATACTATTTAATTATCTCATCTCTAATCGATGTGGGACTTAAGTTTTTTCTAATAAATAATTGTAACTTTAGTGTAATATAAATACATTTTTAGTGGCTATTATATATTAACCATTAATATTTTTATATATGGCGGCAATTAAATTATTACCATTAAATAATTATCATTAATAACAAAATTTGTTGTAGTGCAACATATATTATTTATATCAGTTTTGTAAAGATATTTTCATCATTCTCAAATCGATATAATAAAATAAAATAATGTAAAATATTTAATATTTATATTGTTTGATTTTAAAATTGATGTAAATATATTTTATATTTTTTAAATAATTATAAAAATGTTAACATATTTTATTTTTATATTGCTTTTATTAAAATTAATGTAAAATTATCGATGTTGATGAGTCCTTTCCCACTAGTGATGTAAATGAAAAAACTGTGATTGAAAATAAAAAATCTCACTAAAAATGTATCAATTAATATTTATAAAAAAAAACTATTTATCAATAAAACTAGTAAATATATTATGGATATTATACTAATAATTTATAGTTGTCGACAAAATGCAATCTGACAATATTATTTATTATTTTTGGGTTGAATTTAAAGAAGAGAAACAAGTAGTTCATTTATTGCTTTAGAAAATATATTCTTACAATGTATTACAATATCGGATTATATATATATATATATATAGGGTTTTGTTTACATTATGGGTAAGTCTATTTAGACTTGTTTTATTTAATAATTTATGTTTTACGTTAAATTTTAACGATCTAAATATTGAATTTAAATGTTTAGATTCATTGATCAAGTTTGCAATTTTTAAAAAAAAATTGAAAATCATTTGATACTTCATTTCATTAATTCAAATACACGGATACTCATGAAATATTAAATGATTTTTAAATTTTTTAAAAATTTGCAAAAAAAACTTGATCTACCATTAAAAACCTTAAATGTAACATTGGATCATTGAAATTTGATATAGAATATGAGTTATTGAACAGAATAAGTATTGGAGTAAAAAAATTTCTCCTTTTATATATATATATATATATATAATAATGGGTGCTTTGTAATAAGAAAATGGGTGATTTGGAGATAGTTATGAAGATAAAAATGTCTTAATGAAATGTGTATAAAGAAGGTTGTATATCATTTATATATATTATTATAGATATACATTAATAAATAAAATAAATAAATAAAAATTGCCAATATATATAGGAAAAATTAAATGACACTAGTATAATTATGATCAGCTATTACATAAAATCTTATTCATATAAATCAAAATTGAGATAATATATATTTTAAAATATATTAAAATATAAACAATTTGATTATCCTTAAATTTTGTTGATCAATTTTAACAAAATTTGACATAAACATATAAGGTAATATAAAGTTAAAATTCAATATTTGAATTGACAAATTCACGTCTAATATAAAGTTATTAAATGGTATAAATAAAAATATATATATGTGTGTGTGTGTGTGTGTGTGTGTATGTGTGTGTGTGTGTGTAGAGAGAGAGAAAAAGAGAGTCAAGATCCATTAATACTAGATATAAAAATTTATACCAAATCTTATACCTATAATAATTTTTTTATATAATATAAATTTAACTAATTCATCCATTTAATCATGTGATATTATACTCAAGATGTGTATATTAAAATTCATATTATTTTGAATTTTTTCATATTATTATTCAAAAGTAAATATCTATACACATTTTAAATATTATATTATAATTAAAATAAAACAATACAATGAACTAGTAAATAAGTATATATATACGCACACATATATATGAGAGTTGCTACTATAACTTTAGAGATTAAGGGATTTTGGTACTTTCTCTAACATATACCAATAAAATAAATATGTCATTTAACGAAGTTATATCAATATTTAAATGATTTTTATTTTTTATTTAAATTTTTTACATTATTTATGTTTAACTCATTGTTTATTATATTTTAAAATAAAATAAAAAATAATTATCAATTTAAAATTGTTTGACTTGTGTGCAAATTTTTAGTGTTGTACGCGATTTTTCAATCGAAAGGTATTTTACGTGATTTTTCAATAAAAAATGGTGTTTTAGATTAAAACCTTACAATTCTTGGCGCAAAAAAAGTTCAAAACATGAATGCGGGTTTCCAATCAAAGGGCATGAAACATGGGTGCAATTTTTTGATCTTAGGGTGTTGTACGTAGTTTGTCAATCAAAGGATTTTAATGTTGATTGAAAAACAACATACAACAGTGCTTTGCAATCCAAGGGTTTTCAAGCATGAGCCACGTCTTGGGCTCTGACTCAGGCTCACCAAGTCCAGCGCCAAAGAAAGGGAAAAAATAACAAATCTAGGTGAACTTGGCTAGTCCAATAGATACAAGAATGATATTAAAAATATAGTAATGATTCAAATATCTATCAATAGCCAAAAGAAAACCCGCTTATAAATTTCAAAATTTATCATAAATATAAAAGAGTAAAAAGGATTCTAGATTTTTGATATAAAATAGTAAAATTTATATAAATTTACTGAGTTGTCAACATTCTGTGACCACATTAAATATAGTATATTATGTTTGAATTATTGGTAAATTTGATATCCTTGCATGATATAATTTGATACATCGGATCATTTGATATTTAATTGATTATATAATTAAAAATTGATAATAATAATAGATATAAAATATAATAATATTGAATAAGTTAAAGAAATAATATTAAAAAATAAATATATATTTTGTTATAAGTTGTAGAAAAAAAATTGTTGAAAATATTATAACATATATTTGAATCTCCACTTTTATTATTAGTAACTAAAATTTTCAATTCACCCATTAACATAATTTTTTAAATTGTTATATATTGACCATAAAATAAGATAATAAGATTAGTTTTGAAAGATACACCTAACGTTTTTTAAAGATTAGCCTTAACTTTTTGTTAATGGTAATCACAAACGAAATAACCAATAAAAATTATTTTCATTTAAATTTGAATGGAATGTTAACATTGGAAGTGGTTAATAATGATACTTAGGTATAAGTTGACAATCAACAACTTTTTAATAGACACATGAATTTTGTTTTTCCTAAATGTACATATAAAATAAAAATATAAATTTGGCCTCAAATATAAAATTTAATAATTAATTATTTTTTTATTTCATACAAGTGCTCTAAGATTTTGCCTTAGACTAATCTAGCTTAGTCAAAAGATAAGCGGAGTCTAATTAAGAGTTATTTTCGCAAAGAATCAAATTTGAGCTAGCATTGTTCAAACAATTCGATTTTGTGTTTAACATATTAACCAATTTAAACCAAAATAATTAAAATGAAAAATATTAGAAGGTATAAATATTTAAAGATATAATTAAAATAATATAATATATATATATAAACTATTTTGGTAAATAAAAAAAGAATATGTTACCTTTTAATAAAAAAATAATCATTTCCATATTAGATAACACATTTTTTATTATTGAACTCAAATACATTATGTAAATGACACATACATTTAATATAGTAGTCCTTAATATTTTACATAAAATATATTTTTTAATCCAATTTTTTTCTTTTATTGTGCGGAATTAATTTTATAATGTATAACAATTAAATTTCATAAAAATATAATAATGATTAGTAATTATTAAAATATTTTTTTGATTATTTTAATTTTTTCGTTATGTTCAAATATAATTAAAAAATAATCATTTTTTAAAATATTTACAAATTATTAAGGTAGAATCTAAAATGTCTTTATTAATTATTAAGGTATTAATTATTTTGGTATATTTATTTACTTTTGATATTACCAAGTTTTTCCTTTTATTTTGCAAATTAAATTTTTAATAATATATAATGATTGAATTTTGTGAAAATTTAATAATGATTAATAATTATTAAAATATTTTTATTCTTTTAATTTTTTTGATTTTATTTGAATATTAAAAATAGTCTTTTTTTTTCTTTCAAAATCTATACTGACTATTAAGTTGGAATTTAAAATGTCTTTATTAATTATACAGGTATTAATTATTTTGATATATTTCTTTAATTTTAATAGACATATATTAAATATTAATATATACATATATATATATATATATATATATATAATTTCTAAGGAAGTAAAATATGAGTAACATAATAAGATATTTAAATTAATTGATGATTAATATTTTCATATTCTTTTATATTTACCTTTATGCTTATACTAATGTGTCTAACAAAAGAATATTAAAATACACTATTTTACAACAAAACCAATTGGTTTCTTTATAAAATAGTCTGAAATAACAAAATGAAGTTACATCTTTACATAAAGGTGTTGTGAGTGTCCGGATGAGATTTTTTTTATATAATAAAATGCTTAATGAGAAATGTTTAACAGAGTGGCATCTTAGAGAAGTACACTAATACTTCACTGCATGCGAGCATAGAGATAAGAGAAAGAGCAACTTCACGTACTCCGGCCTTTTGGCGACATATTAGATTTTGATCAAATCAATATTTTAATTTCGAAAAATATATGAACGCATACAGAGAAGGAAATGGAAACCTAACATTAACAAATAACAAAATATGACACTCACTGATACATGGGTACAACTTACAAGCATTAATACATGGCTCTTGCTATAGCGCAGAGGTACCATATTATTATATGAAACTTGGTGACGAACTGCAACAATGTTAAACATAATTTATTGAAAAATTCAAATAGCTGTAACCCCTAGCGTATATACATGGGTGACCGGGGTTGAGTTATTGACGTAAAAGATAATATGGTGGAGCAGGTGATGATAATGGATGGTGGAATTGGAGACTTGTAGTAACATGGAGTAGTCCGTGAAGACGATGGAGGTGGTGGGACTTATAATGATACGGTGGAAGGATGAAGGACAAGATGGAGAAGTGGTGAAGGTGGGGGTAGAGATTGATCTATCTAGTAATATGGAGGAGATGGTGGAGGTGGGGACTTGTAGTCATATGCAGGAGGTGGTGGTGGAGATGAGTAGACATATGGAGGTGGTGGTGGAGATGAGTAAACATATGGAGGAGGCGGTGGAGATGAATAAACATATGGAGGTGGTGGTGGAGACTTGTAAACATATGGGGGAGGTGGTGGAGATGAATAAACATATGGTGGAGGTGGAGGTGACTTGTAAACATATGGAGGTGGCGGCGGAGATTTGTAGTAATATGGAGGTGGTGGTGGGGACGAATAAACATATGGTGGAGGTGGAGGTGACTTGTAAACATATGGAGGTGGCGGCGGAGATTTATAGTAATATGGAGGAGGTGGTGGCGATGAATAAACATATGGTGGAGGAGGTGGTGACTTGTAAACATATGGTGGTGGAGGTGACTTGTAGTAATAGGGAGGTTTGTAGTAATGTGGAGGGAATTTGTGTTCATAAGGAGGTGGTGGAGGTGATTTGTAGTAATATGGAGGGAATTTGTATCCATAAGGAGGTGGAGAATTGTAGTAATATGGAGGGTATTTGTATTCATAAGAAGGTGGAGATTGATAGTAATATGGAGGAGATGGGGATTTGTAGTAATATGGAGGTGATGATTGGTAATAGTAATATGGTGGTGGTTTGTAATAGTAAGGTGGGTAGTCTTTATTATAGGGTGGTGTTGTTGGATACTTGTATGGTGGGTCTCCATAGTAAGGCTTGTCATCATCAGCAACCACCATACTAGAAATTATGCAAAATATTAGGGCATAGATGAGTCGAGGCCACTGCCTCGGCTCACCTGAGGTTCCCATCTCTACTAGCTAGTGTGCTTCCCTTGTCTGTGCCTTATGACTTAGAAGACTTGTGGTTTATGCTTTACTTGTTGGTAAGCAAAGTAAGGATTCTAACCCTTTATATATTGTTAGCAGCTTCCATCATAAATGGGAAGATTTGTTTGTTAAATGCATTAACGGACATGGCTAAATGTTTTATAATTATATTAGACCAGGTTTTGAGGCTGATGCAACACTCTTGATTGTTTTCATTGTTTTATATATTTCAACTTGAACTCAACAAAGTCAGGTAGGGAGTTGATGATGCCATAGCTGAATAAGTACTTGATAGATTTGATCAAACATTGGAATAGCGCGTCCAACAAGGTAAATAATGAGCAAAAGGCCAAAGTGTGAAATGTTAAACGAGCATTAATTATATAATCTGTCTTATGGTTATAATTTATCTTTGGTTGTTTATTCCATATGTCAAAAATTCAGGACAGTAAAATACTAAAGTGTAACTTAAGTGCCAAAAATCAAATTAAAAATCGGGGAAATTTTTTTTTCCACATTCACTTGCATGTGGAAGCCAAGACAAATAATTGATATGATTAGTGAGTATATACATGGGGAATGCTAATATACTTCCACCTATTTTTTAGTAGGAGTATGTTAACAACTTACACCAAAATTTTATGACAAAAAAAATCACTCATTTTTTTTTATTTGGTTAATTTGTATAAAGGATATTATAGTAATTTAATTTAATTTTAAATGAAAATAAAATATTTTCTCTCTCCTATTAACTTCATTCTCTAAGTCATTTCTCTCTTGTATTAAATTTATTCTCCAACTCATTTCTCTTTCCTATTAAATTTTTTCTCTAACTTATTTATCTCTCTCTTATTAAATTTCTTCTTTAACTTATTTCTCTCTCATCTCTCATGATGTCTCCCCCCTCTCTTTCTCTAACAAATAAAAATTAATTAATATAAAAAAAATCACTCATTTCTTTTGATTTAGTTAATTCGTACAAAAGATATTATAGTAATTTAATATAATTTTAAATGAAAATAAAATATTTTCTCTCTCTTATTAATTTCATTCTCCAATTCATTTATTTTTTTTATTAATTAATTTTTATTTGTTCAGAGAGAGAGAGAGGGGGGAGACATCATGAAAGATGAGAAAGAAATGAGTTAAAGAAGAAATTTAATAGGAGAGATAAATAAGTTAGAGAAAGAATTTAATAGGAAAGAGAAATGAGTTGGAAAAAGAATTTAATAGGAGAGAAAAATGACTTAGAGAATGAAGTTAATAAGAGAAAAAAAATATTTTATTTTTATTTAAAATTAAATTAAATTACTATAATATTCTTTATACAAATT